TTTAGTAGAGACAGGGTTTCACCGTGTTAGCCAGGATGGTCTCGATCTCCTGACCTCGTGATCCACCTGCCTTTGCCTTCCGAAGTGTTGGGATTACAGGCGTGAGCCACTGTGCCCGGCCCAGGCTAATTTTTTAAACTTTTTTTTTTTTGTAGAGGCAAGGTCTCAGTATGTTCCCCAGGCTGGTCTTGGACTCTTGGCTTCAAGTGATCCTCTATCTCAGCCTCCCAAAGTGCTGGGATTACAGGCATGAGCTATGATGGCCTTGCTGCAAATTCAGTTTGATCCCAATGCAGTGTGTTGGGTAACACAAGACTCAAAGGACTAATGAGGAGTCCAGTGTGTAGGATATTGGACCTCCCGGCCCTTTATGGGCCAGCATTCTGTGTGTGCATAAAATGACAATTTACATGTTGAAATGTTTCACCGTTACTGCCAAGTGAAGTATTCACGTTTCAAGATCTCGAGGGAAAGGGACCGGACGTATTGATGTAGCAGGGAGTTCTGGGAAGCATTGATCCTGGGAGCTATGGCAGGACTAGCACTGACACCACGTGGTGCTCTGTGAGGCCCTGAGGAGAATCCCCTGGTGGTGGGTGGGGGTGGGGGTCAGGGGGCTGGGCCTCAGCTCAAGACCTCCCATGCTCCCTTCATGTGCATTCTCCACACCAAAGCCTGGCCTCTGTGGTGCAGCTCCTCTGCAGGGCTCAGATCTTCAGTGCCACATCGTGGGATCCACAGGTTCCCTGGAACCCTGGCCACAGCTAGACACCTTTAACCTTGGGTGTGGAGGCTTCCTGTGGAGTGGCCGGGTCACCACACTCAGGGAAACCTTCCACCATGCAGCAGTCTCTGGTCACGTCTGAGACTTGCTATGTCCTGTCATTTCTTCTGGCCCCACATGGGCCCCTGTCTGGCAGTGCCCACATCTTGGCCACCCTGATGCTGGTGGTTCTGGAACTCTCCGAGGGTCCCAGCTGGTTCTGTTTTAAGGATAGAAACCATGGAAGAACAGAATTTTATGCAAATTGAGTTTTGAGATGGAGTCTTGCTAGGTTGCCCAGGCTCCTGGGTTTAAGCGATCCTCCCACCTCAGCCTCCTGAGTAGCTGGGACTACAGGTGTGCACCACCACACCCAGCTTAATTGTCTTTTATTAGTAATTCATGAATTGGGCAGCATCCAGCCTGTAAAACAGAAAGGACCTCCTTCGGGCATAGCAGCTGACCAGCCACGACGAGGCAGCTTCAGCAGCAAGGACCATCACAGCACAAGCGGCCCAGCTCTCCTGAGGCTATTTTCCTTGTATGGATTGACTTCCTGATTATGCTGGCTTGGGTTGACTGGGCCCCTTTTGATTGGTTGCTGTGAATCTTCTGTTTTTTGGAAAACTGGCCCGTGTGGGGATTATCTGTGGTGTTTGTTTGTTTGTTTGAGACAGGTTGTTGCTCTGTCACCCAGGCTTCAGGGCAATGGCTCAGTCATGGTTCACTGCAGCCTCCATCTCCTGGGCTCAAGTGATCCTCCCACTCCAGCCTCCTGAGTAGCACGGACCACAGGCGTGTGCCACCACCCTCAACTATTTTTTTGACTTTTTGTAGAGATGAGATCTCACCGTGTTGCCCAGGCTGGTCTTGAGCTCAAGTGATCCTCCTGCTTTGGCCTCTCAAAGTGCTGGGATTGCAGGCATGAGCCACCATGCTTGGCCTCCTGCGGTTCTTTTTAAAGTTCCAGTTTGATTATGATGCCATGTAGCGCGTTTTAGTTTGGTCCACTGGGGCCTAGTGCAGGAGCTTATCCCAAATTAAGCTCCCCAGGCATTTTATTTAATAGAAGTGGGAGGGTCAGCCGGGTGCGGTGGCTCATGCCTGTAATCCCAGCACTTTGGGAGGCTGAGGTGGACGGATCACTTGAGGTCAGGAGTTCGAGACCAGCCTGGCCAACATGATGAAACCCTGTCTCTACTAAAAATACAAAAATTAGCCAGGCATGGTGGTGTGCACCTGTAGTCCCAGCTACTTGGGAGACTGAGGTAGAAGAATTGCTTGAACCCGGGAGGCAGAGGTTATAGTGAGCCGACATTGTGCCATTGCACTCCAGCCTGGGCAACAAGAGTGAAACTTCATCTCAAAAGAAAAGAAAAGAAAAAACACAGATAAGCTCATTCTAAAGTTTGTATGGAAATGCAAAGGAACCAGGATAGCTAAAACAATTTTGGAAAAGAATAAAATGGGCCAAGTCCAATAGTTCATGCCTGTAATCCCAGCACTTTGGGAGGCCAAGGTGAGAGGATTGCTTAAGGCCAGGAGTTTCAGACCAGCCTAGGCAACATAGTGAGACTCTGTGTCTACAAAAATAAATTTTTAAAAATCAGGCAGGCTTGGTGGTCTGTGCCTGTAGTCCTAGGTGCTCGGGAGACTGAGATGGGAGGATCACTTGAGCCCAGGAGTTTGAGGCTGTAGTGAGCTATGATTGTGCCACTGCACTCCAGCCTGGGTGGCAGAGCAAGACCTTGGCTCTAAAAATAAAAATAAGAGGCCAGGCGTGGTGGCTGACACCTGTAATCCCAGCACTTCGGGAGGCCAAGGCTTGCTTACTACAAAGCTACAGTAATCAATGATTTAGTAATCTGGTAAACTTGCTACAAAGCTATAATCAAGAATACAGTAATCTACAGTCTGTCTTCATGCCAGTGTAGCACCCTGGACCTACATGTCTGTCTTTATGCCAGTACCACATTGGCACAGAGACAGACACATAGGTCAATGAAATAGAACACAGAGTTCAGAAATAAACCTTCACATATATGGTCAAATAATCTTTGACAAGGTGCTGAGACCGTTCAGTGGGGAAAAGAATAGTCTTTTTGACAAGCGGTGTTGGGAAAACATGACATTAATTTACAAAAGAATAAAGTTGGACCTTTTGCCTCACGCCATATACAAACTACAAAGACCTAAATGTACCACCTAAAACTGTAAAACTCTAAAAAACAATAAGACAAAGCTATACAAGTTTGGATTTGGCAATGATTTCTTGGATATGACAACAAAAGCACGGGCAAAAGACAATGTGAACAGAGTAAACAGGCAACTTTCTAGATGGGAGAAAATAGTTGCAAGTTGCATATGTGATGAGGAATTAGTATCCTTAATACGTAGAAAACTCCTAAAACTCTACAACGAAACAACAAGCTGATTCAAAAATAGACACATGACTTGAATAGACATTTCTCTAAATAAGTACTCAAATGGGCAATATGCATATAAAAAATGTTTGACATCGCCATTCATTAGGCAAATGCATATCTAAACTACAATGAGGCTAGGGTATAGTGGCTCAAACCTGTAATCCCAGCACTTGGAGAGGCTGAGGGATTGCTTGAGCCCAGTTCAAGATCAGCCTGCATGACATAGTGAGACCCCCGTCATGTCTCTAAAAAAAAAAAAATTTAAAATTAGCCAGGCATGGTGGTGTATGCCTGTATTTCCAGCTACTCAGGAGATTGAGGTAGGAGGATCACTGGAGCCCAGGAGGTCAAGTCTGCAGTAAGCTATGATTGTACCACTTATACTCCAGCATGGGCAACAGAGTGAGACCCTGTCTTAAAAACAAAAAACAAAACACTGCAATGATATACCACCTGACACCATTAGGTTGGTTACTATATTAATAAAACAAACAAGCAAACAAAAAAACACACAAAAATTCCAGAAAATAGCAAGTGTTGGTGAGGATGTGGAGAAACTGGAACCCTTCTGCACCATTGCTGGGAATGTGAAATGGTACATCCATGATGGAAAACAGTATGGTGGTTCCTCAAAAAATTAAAAGTAGAATTACCCAGCAACTGAATTTCTGCACGTATACCCCAAAGAATTGAAAGCAGGGTCTCACAGAGATATTTGTATGCACATGTTCATAGCAGCATTATTCACAATAGCTAAAACATGGAAGGGCCGGGCGCGGTGGCTCAAGCCTGTAATCCCAGCACTTTGGGAGGCCGAGACAGGCGGATCACGAGTTCAGGAGATCGAGGCCATCCTGGCTAACACAGTGAAACCCCGTCTCTACTAAAATACAAAAAAAATTAGCCGGGCGAGGTGGCGGGCGCCTGTACTCCCAGCTACTCGGGAGGCTGAGGCAGGAGAATGGCGTGAACCTGGGAGGCGGAGCTTGCAGTGAGCTGAGATCGGGCCACTGCACTCCAGCCTGGGCAACAGAGCCAGACTCTGTCTCAAAAAAATAAAATAAAATAAAATAAAATAATAAATAAAACATGGAAGCAACCTGTATTAGTCCATTTTCATGCTGCTGATAAAGACATATGCAAGACTGGGTAATTTATAAGGAAAAAGAGTTTTAATGGGACTCAGTTCCACGAGGCTGGGGAGACCTCACAATCATGGCAGAAGGTGAAATGCACATCTCACATGGCGGCAGACAAGAGAAGAAAACTTGTGCAGGAAAACTCCCCTTTGTAAAACCATCAGATCTCATGAGACTTATCCACCATCATGAGAACAGCATGGGAAAGACCTGCCCTCATGATTCAATTACTTCCCACTGGGTCCCTCCTATAACACATGGGAATTGTGGGAACCAAAATTCAAGATGAGATTTGGGTGGGGACACAGCCAAACCATATCACAACCCAAGTGCCCACTGATGGATAAATGAATAAGCAGAATGTGGTATAAACAATGGGATACTATGTAGCCTTAAAAAGGGCTAAGATTCACCCCATTTCTACTAAAAAGAAATACAAAAAATTAGCCGGTCATGGTGGCACCCGCCTGTAATCCCAGCTACTCAGGAGGCTGAGGCAGAGAACTGGTTGAACCTGGGAGGCAGAGGTTGCAGTGAGCCGAGATCGCACCACCGCGCTCCAGCATGGGCAACGGAGTGAGACGCTGTCTCAAAAAAAAAAAAAAACAACAAAAAAAGGGATGAGATTCTGACACAGGCTGCAACATGGATGAATCTTGAGGACACTGTGCTAAGTGAAATAAGCCAGTTGCCAAAAATACAACTACTACAGAATTCCACTTATATGAGGTGGTTAGACTAGTCAAAATTATAGAAACAGAAAGTAGAATGGTGGGTACCAGGGCCAGGGGAAGGGAAATGAGGAATTACTGTTTAATGGAGACAGAGTTTCAGTTTTGCAAGATGGGAAGAATTCTACACAGATGCATGGTGGTGATGGTTGCACATCACAAGTGTATTTAACACCACCAAACTGTACACTTAAAATGATTAAGGTTGTAATTTTAAGTTATATGCATTTTACCACAAACTTTAAAAGTTGAAAAAAAGAAGTGAGGGCAGTCGTTGCACTGGGGAGAAGGAGGAGGGCAGTTACTGGTGGGGCTTTGGAGGGGTTTTTGACACAGTGTTCCACTTTCCAAACCAAGTGGCAATTACACAAATATTGCTTTGCTTTTTTAAAAAAAGATTGTGGCTTTCTTCTTCCTAGAAGACTGTGTGTTGTCCTCTTGTCAGGCGTGCTTTGTTGAGAGAAGCTGCTCCATGGGAGAGCCTACATGGCTGGGAGCTTAGGGTCCCACTGCCCAACAGCCCATGAAGAGTAAGCTCAGATGCAGACTTCCCCAGGCAAGCCTTCAGATGGCGCCACAGATGCTGTGCCATTGTCCTAATTGCAGTCTAGGGAGAAGCCAACGTGCAGAGGACTCAAGCCATGCCTGGATTCCTGACTCATGGAAATGGTGAGATACTGAATGTTTTTTAAGCTGCAAAGTTTTAGGGAATTTTATTATGCCCCAATAGATAACAAATAATGCTATGTATAGAATCCTGTGTTACTACTTATTTTATCTTGAGACTTTGAAAAAATAGATATTTGAATATTGCTTGGTTTTTATCATTGTAATTGATAAGGCTGCTTTCATGATAACTGCTTTTGGTGTAATCTGAGTGGTTTTCTTTTTCACTTTAAATTTTTTTTTTTTTTTTGTCTTTTGTATTCTCTAGTTTTACTCCAAAATGTAGAAGTGTAGTTTCATTTTTTTTCCCCAGTTCAAGTCTCACAGTGTTCTTGAATCTTAGGATTCACATTTTTCATGAAGTATAGAACTTTCTTGTCATTATCTTTTTAAATATTGTTGCTTCCTCATTCTTCTAATCATTCAGAATGGAACTCTCAAAGATGTTTGGGATCCCCTCATTCTGTCATCATGCTCTGCCTCACACCAGAAGTAATTTCTGCATATATCACAAATTCAGCTTTCAGCTGGGTCTAAATTGCTTTTTAACTCACTCATTGAGTTAATTTTAGCAAGTATGGTTTTCCGTTCTAGATATTCCATTTAGTTCTTCAAAACTGCCTATTCTTCCCCCATTCCCTTGCAATCGTATTCTTGTTCATGT